GCGGCGGTGAGGCAGAGCAGGCAGAGCAGCAGCAACAGCAGCAGCAGCAGCAACAGCAGCAGCAGCAGCACACCAGCAGCAGCAGCAGCAGGCAGGCCCCGTGTGCAGAGCAAGCAGAGCAGCAGCAGCAGCAGCAGCAGCAGGCACTGGCAGCAGCAGCAGCAGCAGCAGCACCACCACCACCAGCAGCAGCAGCAGCAGGCAGGCCCCCGTGTGCAGAGCAAGCAGAGCAGCAGCAGCAGCAGCAGCAGCAGCAGCAGGCACTGGCAGCAAGAACAAGCCCGCACGTACAGCACACACGCGGCCATTGACTATATATATTAACAATAAATCTATATCTATATCAATATCAATATCTATATCTAAATCTATATCTATATCAATATTCTATAATATATATAGTCAATGGCAGCGGGCAGGCCCCCGTGTTCAGCAGCAGTGACGGAGGAAGTCGAGTGAAGCAGCGATAACGCGCTAATGCTCGTAATTGCGCCACCGTAACGAGACACTAGCGCTTGTCGCCGCTGATTGTAGTTATCATCGGCGCTGTGTCATCGGCAGCGGCGGCGACGGCGGCGGCTGTGCGACCGCCGCCGCCGGGTCTCGCGCGTCACCCACACATGTCACCGTGCGGCAGGGTTCTCCCCTTCTCCCCCTCTCCCCCTCTCCCCCTCTCCCCTCTCCTTCTTATGTCACCCTGCGGGAGACCTGCAGGGTTCTCTCCCTCTCCCCTCTCCTTCTTATGTCACCCTGCGGGAGACCTGCAGGGTTCTCTCCCTCTCCCTCTCTCCCTCTTATGTCACCGTGCGGGAGACCTGCAGGGTTCTCCCCCTCTCCTTCTTATGTCACCCTGCGGGAGACCTGCAGGGTTCTCTCCCTCTCCCCCTCTCCTTCTTATGTCACCGTGCGGGAGACCTGCAGGGTTCTCCCCCTCTCACTCTTATGTCACCGTGCGGGAGACATGCAGGGTTCTCCCCCTCTCCCTCTAATGTCACCGGCTGCACGCGTGCCGCCGCGTGAGCGCGCTTCTCAATCTCAGCGACGAAGAACGACGTGTTTTTTCCGGAAATTTACGTGGGCTGTGAATTAGAAACCGGGATAACGTTCGTGGCGGTTTTGGAAACCGGAATGGATCGTGTTGTTTGGGAAAACAAACAAAAGTTCGCGAATTGCGTTCACGGCGGAACTGTAAATGGGTCGTGTTGTTTATCTGTACGGAAAAATTCGCGCGAAAAACGAAATTTGTGATGAAAATCAAAATCGGCGTTCGAATTTACGATCCTCGGCGTTACAAACGACGGTGTGACCGACGAGGTGCGAAAACGTGATATCACGTTTACGATGTGATGATACTGTGTGCTCGCGGTGGAGTCTGCCACACCTCCGTAATCCACCTCCTTCCCCCGCGCGTATTCAATAAGGAGAAAATGTTTCCGCCCGGGTCTGTTGTAATATCTTCCTTTCGCATCGCATCGAGAGATTCCTGAAGTCCTCGCCAATGAAGTCGTATGATGATGATGAGGGCATGCAGAGATGCAGCCTCTCTGATTAACGTTGCTATGCGGATCTGGACATACGCGGATTCGCTACCCGTGGTTCTGTATAGTTCTTGTGTTCAATGTGTATAGCGACTAATAT